ATATGTCAAGACCACAAAACATGAAGGTGACATTAATTTTCTCTGTGAGAGGAGGAGTCAATGCAAAGTCAGCCGTCTTCCTCCTCTACTTCAGTGAGTGCAGAGAGGAGGACAGAGGACAGTGGACACTCAGTTTGACATGATGGACTATAGGACAGGACTGCTGCTTCTGACTGTCTGCTGGACAGGTGGAGATCATCACTAATCTGAGTTGGACTTTTTCACCTCATGACAACAAACTCACTTCAATCTGTTGGTTTTTTTCTTCTGTCTTTTCAGGTGTTGGTGGTCAGACTCTGACTGAATCTGAGCCGGTGGTTAAACGTCCTGGAGAATCCCACAGACTGACCTGTACAGCCTCTGGTTTATCATTCAGCAGCTATGGAATGAACTGGATCAGACAGGCTCCTGGAAAAGGACTGGAGTGGATCGCTTATATACACCCTTCTAGTAGTAGTCACATCTACTACTCAGAGTCATTTAGAGGCCGGTTCACCATCTCCAGAGACAACAGCAGACAGCAGCTGTATCTGCAGATGAACAGTCTGAAGACTGAAGACTCTGCTGTTTATTACTGTGCCAGAGACCCACAGTGACTGGAGTCTGCTGAGCAGCTGTACAAAAACCTACAGGAGTCAGAGTCACATGACTGACAGATTCCTGTTTGGCCCCACAAAACATTGTTGAATATACTTTAAAATATAATCACTGATCAGAAAATCAAAGGCTGAAATATGTGATTAACACTCTCCAATAATAGCAAAAAATACAAAACATCTACACAGATGATTTCCGAGTTTGATGAATATTATGAATCTAAAGTTGGTCACATTATTGGAGTTGAAATAAAAATGCAGTTCCATTATAAAAACAGCAGGAGGCAGCATGTGTCCAGTTTCTCTTTCATGTGTGTCCATAGACTGTATATAAGATAGACAGAGGCAGTGTCCAAAATGGCCTACTACTCCTACTACTCCTACTAAACCCGTCTCTGAATTGAGTAGGCAGTGCGTTCACACTGTACAGTATGCGAATTTTGTGTATGCGAGAAATGCCCGGATGTATACTCAATCGGCTTCGATTTCTGAGTGTGGAATGGAGCTTGCTTCACGTACTGCTTCTCTGTGAGCACTCTGCTGTGTATTACTGTGTACGTGTGAGCTCCACAGAGAGAGACGATAACAGCAGAGACAGACAAAAACTACTTCCTCTATTTTCCACCATCTCTGGGAACAGATGGTTGTCCCAGTGCCAACACTGATTCTGATCACCTGTGGATCATCAAACTGTCAAGTCAAAGTTACAGTAATTTTATAATGTGGTTCACTTCAATATTTGAACACATGAACAGTAGTAAGAAGTCTTATTCCAATAACAGAGTTTCTGCTGATGACACTCTGAACTCTCCTGTGCTCTTCAATATCACTCTGTACGTCAGATCATTTTGGTGCTGCTGTTTCAATCCTCAGTAAAATACAACAACTCACATTTAAGAGACCATCAACAACAACAAGAGACAAAAGACATTTGAACGTGAATATCAGAGACAGGATCATAAAATCCTCAGAGTGTTAGTTTAGTTTTCAGAGAAACTTCACGCTCCATCTACAGAGGTTTGACTCCAACCCTCCACCTGCTGCTGAATGTTCCTCTCCTCTCTCTTCACCTACTTTCCTTCCCTATTCACTAACATGGTCATCAAAATAAGATATAAAGTTTAAAGAATAATGATAAACATGAACAGACTTTAGTTATATGATTCAATCCAAATAGTGAGAACTAAAGTGTTTGTATAGAGGGATGAAGACTAAAGATTTCCTTTATGTTGAAGAAAATAGGGACACTGTAAAATATCAGTTTGTACCTGAAGTTGTGTTTCACTGTGAGAACAAACTGGAGTTAATAATGAAGACAAATTATGAGAAAATGAAGCAAAATATATTTAAACCAAAAAACATGAAGGTGACATTAATTTTCTCTCTCTGAGAGGAGGAGTCAATGCAAAGTCAGCCGTCTTCCTCCTCTACTTCAGTGAGTGCAGAGAGGAGGACAGAGGACAGTGGACACTCAGTTTGACATGATGGACTATAGGACAGGACTGCTGCTTCTGACTGTCTGCTGGACAGGTGGAGATCATCACTAATCTGAGTTGGACTTTTTCACCTCATGACAACAAACTCACTTCAATCTGTTGGTTTTTCTCTTCTGTCTTTTCAGGTGTTGGTGGTCAGACTCTGACTGAATCTGAGCCGGTGGTTAAACGTCCTGGAGAATCCCACAGACTGACCTGTACAGCCTCTGGATTCACATTCAGCAGCTACCGTATGGCCTGGGTGAGACAGGCTCCTGGAAAAGGACTGGAGTGGATCTCCACTGTGAGAAATGATGCTGTGAACCCATACTACTCTGAGTCGGTTAGAGGCCGATTCACCATCTCCAGAGACAACAGCAGACAGCAGCTGTATCTGCAGATGAACAGTCTGAAGACTGAAGACTCTGCTGTTTATTACTGTGCCAGACACCCACAACAACACAAACCATCTGTAGAGCTGAACAAAAACCCCTCAGAGCCTGAACACCTGTGACATGAAGCCACCAGAGGAGGAGCCCTCAGACCAACAATCATCATAATGACTCTGTAAACTGTCAGAACTGTGACTCATATCTAAAGTACAATCATTTAGATAATGTATTTTACTTAAAATAAGCATATCACTCTTTAGTATATGTCAATATATTAACAAATAAAAACATGAATAAATATGACCAAAAAACTTTTATTAACTTTAATTTCATTGACAGATTATTCATAAGGATTTTTGTTTTTTTATTTATATTTACACAAAGATGATTTTTAATTTGAGGAGTTTTGTATTTCATCTAAACTCTGTAGGACTGCGGTGAAACTGTGACTCCACTTTTCTGATCATCTCAAAGTCCTTTAATGTTTAAGGGGCAGTTGTTGGCCATGATTCAAAGGATTTAGGCTTCCTAAAGAACCATTCTTACTATGTGGGATAATATGAAAAAAATGTCCTTCAGCTGTCAGAAGATTAAACACATCCTCTGAAGAAAACTAAAAAACTAAGAGAGATGAGGTGATCAGGAGTTACTGCTGTAGAGTTACAGTAAATATGAGGACCTCACTCTCTGATTCAAGAGATACAAATGTTTATTTCTCATTAATATATCAAACATGTGATCATGCTGAATATGAGAAGAGTTAAAGTAGAGGACAGAAATGAGATTAATCTCTGTGAAGGAGGAAAGGTGAAAAACTGGTTAAAAAAACTCAAAGAGAAAGACTGAAGGACATCTTTGACTGTTGGTGTCTCAGTCTGTCTGAAGTCCACAGTCTCTGTCTCAGAGTTTCATTTTCACATCATCATCATCACCCAAATCTCTGGTGAGTAAAATGCAAATATACATGCTGATGCACCTGACACAGCCGCTCTGCCTGCTCTATATATCCTTCATAATGACCGTCACTCTCATAGGCTGAGCCAAGTCTCCACCATGACAGGGGTCCAAAGTTTCCTCCTCTTGGCTCTGATTTCAGGTGAGTGTCTTTATTGAGCAGCAGAGGAGCAGAAAGTGATCTCTGCATGTCTGCTGACTCCTTGTCCTCTAAAACTCTGGGTCCCTTTCAGCCGCTCAGGGCCAGTCCCTCACCTCCTCAGAACCAGTAGTCAGCAGACCAGGACAACCGGTCACTCTGTCCTGTAAAGTGGAAGGACTTGCTCTGGCTTGGCTGCACTGGATTCGTCAAAAACCAGGAAGAGGACTGGAGTGGATCGGTCGCATCAATGATGGGACCGGCACAATATTTTCCAAAAGTCTACAGGGCCAGTTTTCCATCACCAAGGACACATCGGTTAATGTTGTGTACTTGGAGGTGAAGAGCCTCAAACAGGAAGACTCTGCAGTTTATTATTGTGCTCGAGAGCCACAGTGACACAGGGGACAACAGAGCTGGACAAAAACTGAACTACACTGATGATGGCTGTGTGAGGAGCTCTGGAGAACGTCCGGGCTTTGAAAAGACACTTCCCACTGAATGATGGGAGTTATTCATGAAAATAACTGGACTGATTTCAGTCGATTTCTTTAGGCCGTCTAGACGCTCATCGCCGCAGCAATGACTTCATCATTGAGAAGAAAACCTGACTGTGAATCTGTGCATCCATTCAACAGCAGTGAAAACTCAACTTTACTGTTCAAAAACTCTAAATGATTCAGTCTTTACTTTTCTACATGACCTCCACCAACTTTAAAAATCCTCGTCTGAACTCTTTCACCTATTTCATCCTGTCCAGTTCAATATAATCTGACCAACAAGCACCCTCTTAGATATTGTCAGATCAGGCACTTTATTCAGAAGCAGTTCTCACATTTCCCTGATGGTTTGTTACTCAAACTCTGAACCAAAAGAGGATCATATCTGAGCTCCTGGGAGCCTGATCTGGGACTTGCTCCTTCAAATGAACTATGGTGCAGCAGACTGTGACTGGTGACAGTAGAAACATTACTGTGTTGTACCTTTACCATGTGACACAGAGAGAATGACGGACTCTGAGTTCATACAACAGCTTCTGTTTCCTGCAGACTAACAGATGTTGTCTCTCACTGTTATTACAAACAAAGGTGATAATCAATAATCCATAGTTACGACATGATCAACACTATCAAAATAGTGAGAACTAAAGTGTTTTGTATAGAGGGATGAAGACTAAAGATTTCCTTTATGTTGAAGAAAATAGGGACACTGTAAAATATCAGTTTGTACCTGAAGTTGTGTTTCACTGTGAGACCAAACTGGAGTTAATAATGAAGAAGAATTATGAGAAAATTAGGCAAAATATGTGAAAACCACAAAACATGAAAATGACATTAATTTAGTCTCTGAGAGGAGGAGTCAATGCAAAGTCAGCCGTCTTCCTCCTCTACTTCAGTGAGTGCAGAGAGGAGGACAGAGGACAGTGGACACTCAGTTTGACATGATGGACTATAGGACAGGACTGCTGCTTCTGACTGTCTGCTGGACAGGTGGAGATCATCACTAATCTGAGTTGGACTTTTTCACCTCATGACAACAAACTCACTTCAATCTGTTGGTTTTTTTTTCTTCTGTCTTTTCAGGTGTTGGTGGTCAGACTCTGACTGAATCTGAGCCGGTGGTTAAACGTCCTGGAGAATCCCACAGACTGACCTGTACAGCCTCTGGATTCACATTCAGCAACCACTGGATGAACTGGGTCAGACAGGCTCCTGGAAAAGGACTGGAGTGGATTGCTCGTATCAGCAGCGGTAGTGGTAGTAGCACCTACTACTCTGAGTCATTTAGAGGCCGGTTCACCATCTCCAGAGACAACAGCAGACAGCAGCTGTATCTGCAGATGAACAGTCTGAAGACTGAAGACTCTGCTGTTTATTACTGTGCCAGAGACCCACAACAACACAAACCATCTGTAGAGCTGAACAAAAACCCCTCAGAGCCTGAACACCTGTGACATGAAGCCACCAGAGGAGGAGCCCTCAGACCAACAATCATCATAATGACTCTGTAAACTGTCAGAACTGTGACACATATCTAAAGTACAATCATTAAAATAACATCTTTTACGAAACCTGATCAAACTGACATTCAAAATACATTTCACTATTCTGTTTTAATTAATATACACAAGTAAAATACTAAATTTTAATGAAGATATAAATACATTTCATAACCCGAGTCATTAATGTGTACGCTGAAAAAACAGAGGAATACTTCTTTTGTGTTCAGACAAATATCACACTATAACACAATTACTTGGACTATACGGTTCCTCCTCTTACACCAACAATCCCTTCTTCTGTTAAAAGAGAAAAACTAAAAACTAAAACTACCAAACCATGAGGACAACTTGATCTTTGGTTGCTGCTGGTTTAGACACCGGACCCTGGGACCCTGATGGTCTATAGTTTTGTCTCCAGTTGTAGAGATCCTCTGCTTATGGAAATGTCACATGTTCCCCTTTAAACCTGTAGAGGGAGGTCTATGCAAACTGTTCCTCTTTATAAACCCTCCATCAGTAACTTGTGGCAGCACTGGGACAGTTGAGGATATTTCTAACAAACTGAGATCAGAGAGCTCTGAACCTAAGAATGGAAAGAACTCTTATCTGGACTTTATTATTTGTAGTTACGATCCACGGTGAGAAAATGAATCCAGTTTAGGTCTTTTAGGAGATGTTCGACCTGTTCTTGATGAGTCTGTTAGAGAATAATCACAATTTCTATCACTGCAGGAGTTTGGAGTGAGATCAAACTGGAGCAGACTCCCTCTGAGGGGAAAAGACCTGGAGAGACAGTGAGGATGTCATGTGTCATATCTGGGTTTAGCATGACCAGCTACTATATCCACTGGATACGCCAGAGGCCAGGGAGAGCTCTGGAGTGGATTGGGAGGATGAATGCGGGTTCAAACTCTGCTATCTATGCCAGCTCCTTCCAGAGTCGCTTCAGCATGACTGAAGATGTGCCCAGAAGCACTCAGTACCTCCAGGTTCAGGGGCTGACAGCAGAAGATTCTGCTGTTTACTTCTGTGCTCGAAGAGACACAGTGAGAGAAGAGAGCGGAGCAGCTGCTCAAAAACCTCCACAGACAAACACCAGAGTTCAGGTTTACAGTCCTCAGAGATGAAGCACACAGCAGCTGTACCTGAATGAGATCAGTCTGAGGACTGGAGACTCTGCTGTTTAATATTGAGTCACACAGACTCACAGTTATAGAACTATAGAAGATCCTTCAGCTCTCCTCATCAGGCTGAGTTACAGTATTGCTAACAAACAAATATATTTAGATCTATAAAAATACTTCAGTCAGAAAGGAAACCATCAAACTTTTCTCTCCTTTCACAGAACATGACTCAAATGTAAACATCAACTTCAAAGTGCATCCTTATCAGACCAGTCAGATATCTTTATTCAGTTATCTTCATCACTATCATTATTACTGTCATAACAATCATCATCTTCATCCTCATATTCATCACTATTCTAACCCTCCACCTGCTGCTGAATGTTCCTCTCCTCTCTCTTCACCTACTTTCCTTCCATATTCACTAACATGGTCATCAAAATAAGATATAAACCATAAACTTTAAAGAATGATGATTAACATGAACAGACTTTAGTTATATAATTCAAACCAAATAGTGAGAACTAAAGTGTTTGTATAGAGGGATGAGAGCCTGAACACCTGTGACATGAAGCCACCAGAGGAGGAGCCCTCAGACCAACAATCATCATAATGACTCTGTAAACTGTCAGAACTGTGACTCATATCTAAAGTACAATCATTAAAAAAAGCATTTTACTTAACTTGATCATATCACTTTCCAGTAAATATCAATAAATTAACAAATACATAAATCAATATCACCAAATAACTTTGATAACTCTAATTTAACTGACAGATCATTATGAAGTTATTTTTCATATTGATAAAACTTTGTAAAAAGATTTTATTTTACTTATTTATTTAGGAGTTTTATATTTCACTTAAACTTTGTATGACTGAGTTAAAACAAAGAGACATTATGAGACAATTAGGCAAAATATATTTAAACCAAAAAACATGAAGGTGACATTAATTTTCTCTCTGAGAGGAGGAGTCAATGCAAAGTCAGCCGTCTTCCTCCTCTACTTCAGTGAGTGCAGAGAGGAGGACAGAGGACAGTGGACACTCAGTTTGACATGATGGACTATAGGACAGGACTGCTGCTTCTGACTGTCTGCTGGACAGGTGGAGATCATCACTAATCTGAGTTGGACTTTTTCACCTCATGACAACAAACTCACTTCAATCTGTTGGTTTTTTTCTTCTGTCTTTTCAGGTGTTGGTGGTCAGACTCTGACTGAATCTGAGCCGGTGGTTAAACGTCCTGGAGAATCCCACAGACTGACCTGTACAGCCTCTGGATTCACATTCAGCAGCTATGCAATGAACTGGATCAGACAGGCTCCTGGAAAAGGACTGGAGTGGATCTCTTACATAAACAGCGGTGGTGGTACCACCTACTACTCTGAGTCATTTAGAGGCCGGTTCACCATCTCCAGAGACAACAGCAGACAGCAGCTGTATCTGCAGATGAACAGTCTGAAGACTGAAGACTCTGCTGTTTATTACTGTGCTCGACACCCACAGTGACTGGAGTCTGCTGAGCAGCTGTACAAAAACCTACAGGACTCAGAGTCACATGACTGACAGATGCCTGTCATTTTTTTCTCTTTATCTGCTCATTAAAATGGTCCCACTAAACATTGTCTTGTTCAAATTAATCAATCAATTATATATAACCTAAATAAAAACAGTTGTCATCCCAAGACCCTTTCTAAAAGAGCAGGTCCAGACCTAACTCACTGTTTGATGAATTACAAAGACTCAACCTCGAGAAGAGAACTAATCTGACCCATCTCGACCCAACATGAGTGAAGCACTTATTTAGCAGTATTTAGCAAACCCACTCACTATACTTGATCATAAATATATTTATGAAGCCTTTTCCATGAGTCTGGAGGACTTTATAAGAACCCTTATGAATGATAAGAGCTTATAACAGCTTACAGCAATGTTTATGAAGTGCTATAAGCAGTGAGCAGAATGCTTTATAAAGATATGGTTGTTAATGTATTAAACCTTAATGCAAAAGAATAAACAGCAGCTTTGAAATTCTGTGTTGAGGAAAGATTCACTGTCTGTCTGTCTGTCTGTCTGTCTGTCTGTCTGTCTGTCTGTCAGTCTGTATGCAAAGTGAGCTTCCTCTCAGTCTAATATAAAGACTTGACATCAGGCTGAGAGTCACAGAAGAAGAGAAGCTCCCATCAGGTCAGCTTCAACACCAACCATGTTCTCTGGAGCTCTGCTGCTGCTGCTGGCTGCTGGATCCTGTGAGGAGCTTTAAACTAATAATCCCATCAGATCGACTGAATAAGAACATGAATGATGGAGATCATGTTGGTTTGTGTTTCCACAGGTGTCAACAGTATTGATCTCATCCAGCCAGACTCCAAGGTTGTTCAGCCTGGACAGTCTCTGACCATCACCTGTCAGGTCTCTGGTTATTCTCTGACTGATGACAACTATGCAACAGGATGGATCAGACAGAGTGAAGGAAAACCACTGGACTGGATTTCTCATCAGTGGGGTGGTGGTTCACTTAGCCAAAATGATGCTCTGAAGAACAAGTTCAGTTACAGCAGAGACACTTCAGCTGGAACAGTGACTCTAAGAGGACAGAGTCTGCAGACTGAAGACTCTGCTGTTTATTACTGTGCCAGAGACCCACAACAACACAAACCATCTGTAGAGCTGAACAAAAACCCCTCAGAGCCTGAACACCTGTGACATGAAGCCACCAGAGGAGGAGCCCTCAGACCAACAATCATCAGAATGACTCTGGAAACTGTCAGAACTGTGACTCATATCTAAAGTACAAACATAAACACATAACCGTAGTATTTATCTATGAATGAATGAATAAACATATGAAAGGTTCACCTCAACAACTTCATTATCTTCAGTGCAGACCAGATCAGGTAGTCGGGAAAGTAACGAGGTGGAGGGATCTACATGTACGTTAACAACGGGTGGTTCCATAACATCAAAATCCACAGCTGGGTCTGTACCAAGACCTGCAGATGTTGACCCTAATCCTTCATCCCTTTCACTGTCCAAGAAATTTCCCACTGTGGTGATCAGCTGTGTTTACAATCACCAACACCAACACCAAGGCTGCAGCTGAGCTCATGACTAACTACTAGCAGCATGAGGGTGAATATCCAGAGGCATCAGTGTTCACTATTGGTGATTTTTACAGCTGCAGACTCCACAGTGCTCTACTGAGTATTGAGCTCTCTCCAGTTCTCCATTCCATCTTCTCGGAGTCCTTCAGGTCTGCTTCAGTGCCAAACACATGGGAAACATCCACTCTCAAACCCGTGTCCCAGAAACCCTTCCCCTCAGAACCAATCAAAACTATTGATTCTGAACACCATCCTCCCATCTGTCAGACCACAGCTGGATTCTAATCAGTTTGCATACAGGGTAAAAAGAGGGACAGAGGATGCTGCTGAGTGCCTCCTCCACTCCTTCCTGCATCAACTGAAAACAGCCGGTAACTTCAGACTCTTCATCGACTTCAGCTGATTCAAACTTAACCTTTTGACCTTTTACAATCAAAAGGGACAAGGAGGAGGTTCCTGTGACCTGATCAAAGGATCAAAACTGGAAATATTTAATATAAAGTTAAATTTTATATCCTGATCTTTCAGGTTACAGGCAGTATGAGAAGTAAGAGGAAATGAGATCAATCTCTGTGAAGGGAGGAGTCAATGCAAAGTCAGCCGTCTTCCTCCTCTACTTCAGTGAGTGCAGAGAGGAGGACAGAGGACAGTGGACACTCAGTTTGACATGATGGACTATAGGACAGGACTGCTGCTTCTGACTGTCTGCTGGACAGGTGGA